CCACCTTGTTGCTGGTTGTCCTCTTCTTCTCTTTCCTTCCACATTCCCAACATTATAGACCTCTCCAGAGAGGTAATTCTTTGCATAATATGTACAAAATATAACTTGAGCCTAGTCATTTCTGCCTTGAGTGAGAACTCTGGGTTGATTTGTTCAATAATCCATTCATTTGTTTTCTTGGCTATTCATGGAGTTCTTAGGAGATTTCTCCAGCACCAACTTCAAAAGCATCAATAATCTTTGTATCCTGATTCTTCAAAGTCCAACATTAGCTTCCTTAGATTGTCATAGGGAAAACCTGTGCCTGCAACTATTGCCTGCACAATTCTGATCTTTGTAGGTATAGACTCCACTCAGCTTGACATGACTCAGCATTATACACTACCTTCTTCTGTAGCCAGGATTTACTATACTGACATGGTTTAATACTCATAGACAATTAATACTGATTCTCCCTCATTCTATACATACTGAGAGTTCAACATCTACCCCCAATTTAGTGCCCTTTAGAAGTTTGGGGTTTCAAGTCTTTTAATTACTCAACCATCATGAACCTTAGTTATCTGGTCACTGAAGATCAACAGAAGGGTATCAAGGCAAGGATGACCAAAAGAAGGCATGTTCCTTGGATGGATCAGAAAAGATCCATATCCTTTTTCTATCCCTTGGCCAGAGCAACTCTGCTCATGGGAGCTTATTTATTTATAAGACTTATATGGCCGCCCATCAAGATACACAACTCTGGGTAGCTCACAAGAATAATAAAAACCAATCCCCCCATCAAATAAAACCAAAACTTGGCACTTCAACCATCCTTCACCCAAGCACCCAACAGTACCATCCCCAGCTCCAACCTTACCTTGTCCCAACATTTGGAAGAAGAACCAGCTCTTTACTGCTTTCTGGAAGACTAAAAGGGTGATGGCCTACCAGATGCTGGGTGAAGGGTATTCCATGGAACAGGCCTGCTATGGAAAAGACACACTTCCTAGGTCCCACTACATGGCAACATTTAGGAAATGGATGAGATTTCTAGCTGGGGTAGCAGCCTTTGTTCTAGATCTAATTGTGGTAGATTTATGAGAAGGAATTGATAGAATAAGCAAGGGCCCAATTGATGGTGTTGAAAGAGTTCCTGGATAGCTATAGTTCTGGATATTCTGACAAGTTGGAAAAGATGTGTCCACTGCATGTCTTTTCAATACTAAAAACAGATCTTGCATGCCCATGAATGTGAGTCTTTTCTGTATTCTAAATTTGGTAGAGAATGTCTTGCAAAACCCTCTTCCTTGGATATTTACAGAATATGACAGCAAAGTATCTATTTCATGAGTAAGGGTTTTGATTATATAGTTATGTAGTTTCCTGCGTGTTCCAGAATATTTGACATTACAGCTTGATGATCAGTATGGACAAAATATATTGTTATCATAAAATTTACTGACTGTCTCTCTAGAGCCACCATTTTGAATAAAACAAATGCAGGGTTGGATTCTAGTTCTTTAACTACATAGAGTTTCCTCCAAAAACTGCAATTGTAGACCCCCCCCCAAAAAAAATCACTATTATGTGCATGACACTAGCATTCCCCTGCTGCTACTGATTATGGAGTCTGGATAACTCCTCTTACAAATTACTATAGGCATTTTCTGTATGTTTTAAACTTCTATTAAAGAGCCCCAATTGCCTTGGTGAGCAATCGTTAAAACATAGAAATATCAAATAAGGCAAGTATAATAGTAATTGGGCTTTCACAGGAACAGCTGCTTCGCAGAGATTAGCTTAGGAAGGGGTCTTTTTACATTAGATATTGATATTATATTACAGCAGTGAAAGGAACGTGTGTAAAGTAGAAATACATTATTTCATTTCAAAGCAGAAAACCAACATTTTCACATATTACACAGAGTGAAAGTAAGGTAGAAGCTGGTTGCTATCTGTTTGCATCTACTGGTCTCTCCACCTCCTGGGCATTCCTATAAGCAAGGACATAATCTGTAAAATGGCATAAGCCAGCTTTTCTGAGCCTGGTCCCTCAACACACATTGGAGTACAACTTCCATTCATCCCAACAACTTCTATCATCCTAAATCAGCTGTTTGTTTCTTTGCTTATTTAAATGTATAAGGTTATATATAATCAAAGGAGCCATTTGGAAAGCTCCACAGGCTTTTCTACTGTTTTGCTTTTTATTGCTATCCTGCTATTCATCAGAAGCAAATATATATTGCATTCTAACTTCTTAAACTGCTTAATTTAACTTAAACTGCTAAATTCTTCAGCAGAGAAATTGTTTGACAAATGTGCAATGCCCTTCCATTTGAGAAATACTCCAACAGTTATGAATCTGATTAATATGTCATGACCCACAGAAACACACATACTCTTTGATTGGGTCTCATTCTTGATTGGGTCATCATTCTTCCCCTTCCCCCTACCCCACCCCAATACATATATCTACACACAGGCTGGCTAGTCAAATCACATTCCCTTCCACATGCAGAAACAGAAATGCTTGCTTGGAATTGAAGTGGCCATTGCTGCTGAGGGTTTCTGGTGCAGGTACTGGGCAGCATGTTCCACTCAATTCAGGTAGATCCACCAGTAAAGAATTAAGGTGGCTGGGAACCTGGGCTGGAGTCTGGTTGTTGTTGATCAATGGAACTTTACGATTTACAGACGTCTGCTGCCCAAATCATGGTTGAACTGTTGTCTCTTACATTTCCTGTTTACTGATATAGTGCTGTAAGTGAATTAATGACCCCCTCTTCCATAATGCCTCCACATCTCCCTACTTCATCAAGAGTTGCTGGTGATGCCTAATGTTTTAAATTGAATTGGACAAAATAGACAGTATGCATATGTAAAGCTAAAGAAAGGACAAACCGTTTCTACTGGGGAGGATAGATGATGTGGCATCACTTGAGTTATTGGAGGAAACATGTTGAATGTTGAAGAAACAAGAAGGCTGCACTTTGTATTAAGTCCTTTCCTTTCCTTTCCTTTCCTTTCCTTTCCTTTCCTTTCCTTTCCTTTCCTTTCCTTTCCTTTCGCTTTCGGAAGAGCCTGTTGTCTCAGGATACAGTATATGTTGTGGACTATGACTGGAACAGATATTGGTGGAGCCTGACACCAAGTAGTAGCTTTAATGGTACTGGTATTGTATTGTTGTGTTCAATACAAGATGCATTTAAGTCACATCTATACTTTCGAAATGAAAGAGGCAGCTAAACCCCCCACCCCCGCTACTGCTTGTTGAGTCCTTATCGCCAGGTACCCAAAATACTTGAATTGGAACCTGCTATGTCCCTCACTGCTGGATATAAATGTCCATATTGCCTAGAATTTGATATGACCACAGATCTGAGGATACAGGCTTTAAAGGTGCCCAGGCAACTCCAAAGAGTACAAAGGGAAGTGTTGTATAATATAGAATATTTGTGATGATGAATATGCTTGTATTTTATTGTTAATTAATTTGCTCTTGGATAATGTGAAATAAATAGTAACTGTTTCCTACATACTGGAGTTGTGTTAAAAAGAGAAGAGAGATTGTTACTCTGACAGCCAAAGTGTAGGCACAGACCCAAGGATTACACATGAACAGTATTTTTTTTTCCTGGGATTAAGAATACTTTCTCCTCACATTGCTTTCATATACTAACCCTTCAAAAGCAGGTTGAAAATGATCCACAATGGTCTTCAAATATGCCACCCTAAAAGTCTTAAGCAAAAGGAGCAAAGGATCACTGCTCTTTAAACTGTTGCAAACCTGCAGTAAGAAAAATCCTTTCACATCCTTCATGTAGGTATGTATGTATGTATAAACAAACAAACAAACAAACAAACTGCTTGCAACATACCCTTTCTATATTTTCTGTTTGGTGTATTTGACTGGTTGCATGCAGAAAAATCCTGCTGTTCAGATTCCTGTGCTGAAAAAGCATCAAACTACTTTTTCTTCTGAAAGATCTAGAAGCCAGAAGGTATAGTGTAAAAGGAGTTCATGTAAAAAGGAAATGGGTCACCTACACGATCCATGGAACTACTTTTACTGTTGTTGCAAATACACTATAGCTGAGCCAGCAATAAATGAACTCAGCTCCAAAATATAGCCACTGTTGGGGAATCATGGAGAGCTTCTTTGGACTTCCAGGGGAGGTATGGTGAAGTGAAGATGTCTCCATAAAAACAGAGCTGACAGCTGTGGCAAAGACCAAGGAACTGGTGAGTAGACCAGTTCCTTGGAACCTCTCCAGATAAGGAAAGGACTGGAGGACAGGAAATCACCCACGCGAGCTCTGGACGGCTGATCCTTATGAGGAGACTGCAAGATAGCGGTTTTCCATGGGTTTGAGTGATAGGATATGGAGGGATTTAGCCATCTTGCTTGCAACCGCGGCAGAGCCTTTTAAAGGATATTAAATTTGCAAACCTCACTTTCTAATCACTTTCATAAATTGCCTATTAACCATCTTAAAGCTGTTAGAGACCTTCAGAACAACAAGTATGAAAAATCATCGGGTGAGTTTTATCTTCAACTTGGAATAAAATAAAAATTAATTATAAGTTTAAGAACTAATAGAATTTGAAATAAACAGCAAAAAGCTAAATAAGATTTTGATCTAAGAAAGTTATAAATGGACTAAGGGTGCACATACTGTATATTTGGAATATTGACTTTTACTATAAGATGAGCCAAGATGGTGATGAGGCAGCAACTGCTGTAAAGAGCTCCTCCAAAAGATTATTTTTTTAAATAATCTTTTTTCTTAATCTTAATGTTTTAAATACTAGCTTATTTTATTGTACAATTACCTCTCCACCCATGCTTTTAGTGTGACAGCCTCGTGCTGCCCTATCAGAACCCTCAACATACAGAAAGAGCAGAGAAAATTTCAGGACACCACCAATCATCATGGGAAGAAGAAGGAAGAGACACTGGACACATTCTGCAACACGAGCTACATCTGAGCCCACAAAACAGCTGAAAGTGGACAGTTACCTAACAAGCAGGCAGCCACCTCCTGTAAGTAATCCAATCCCCTCTAATCCCTCCAATGGACATGATGCTCCAGAGTAGGATCTACAAGCAGAGATCGAAAGCCAACAGCTTATAGACCTCTCCTCTACTATGGAAGAGGATGCCCCCCCCCC